ACCCACATCTGCTAGCTTTGGCGATATATATATATATATATATGTATAACTTCATTCGTTATCAGAGTTACTGCGAATTTTTTTCTTTTTTCGTGAAAAAAATTACACTCTTGAGCATGAAAGGGAAAAATCGACCTCGGCACAGTATAGAATATTAACAGGACAGAACACTCCTACTAACGAAAACAAAAAGAAAACAGTAGATACACAATTGTAATAAGGCAAATATCGAAGAAAATCTTGTACAAATGCTTATGTACTCTACATAGAAGAAGGCAAGACATACATTAATATAAGCAACTACATCGATAAAGAATGTAAATAGTGACGGTTGTGGAATGCTTAATATAGTAAATATCAACAGCTTGCCATTACCCTAGTGCACATCATAATCTTTAGACTCTCATTGCGATAATAATCCATTAAATAACTACTTTGTTCATCATTGATAGTTTGCAATACTACTTCTAAGTACATCTCGATATGGTATTAAGAACACAAAATATTGGTACAACACGGATGCTGCAGCTGATGAATGCAGCCTTGCAATGTCGTATTTCCCTACGTAACCCTACCAGGGCCGGACTGTACTTTGAAATACGTTTTTCTCGAAAACGGTGGACTTTCAGACCACTAAACGTTTACATAATTTTCTTGTTTTATAGTGCTCTATTACGTCCTACAAGCTTCCTACTTTTTTCAGAAACACCCTATATAAATATATAGTATTCGTTGATGTGGACAAATCTTTTTTTTTGTGTTTACTGATGTATGTCCTTTTCTTAAATTCTTCATGGAAGACTTCAATTCAGCTGAGGAATTGACTGCAAAGGTCACGGAACGAACAAAATAAAACCTGAACAGATCGATGGTATTACTTCTGATAAAACATTTCATTTTAAATGTTACTACCCTTAGGTTTCGCTTTTAAAGTAAATACCCGTAGCAAAGCCTATTTATTTTTTTTGGGTGATTTATTATAAGCACTTTTATGTCTTTTTTTATGTGATGCTTTCTCCCGGTTATGCCAATGTATAGCGGACAGGCGAATTGGGAACCGAACATAGGGGTATTCTATTACACGTGATCATGAAAAGGCGGCATCATCTTTTGAAAAATACGAGCTGGTTGATGCAAATACTTTCAGACTTCCTTTCATGTAATGTATAAGTCTAGTAAATTCAATTTAAAGCCTTTGAGGGCTGTTAGGTTTTGTTCAAAGGATTTTTAGAGTTAGGTTAGTTTACAACAGTTTTTAGAGAAGCAAGGGATATTTTCAGATAAATGTAGTTGAAGGGATTTGTACGAATTTTCCTGTAGCACGTCGCATTTTTAATGATTGCATTTAATATTTGTTTTCAACTTTCCACTAGTGTATATGTGTAGCATACATAATCATAAAGAACATTTTTGAAACAGATCTCATAAAAATAATATATTCCCTTTCCTGGATTGTGACGACGAAAATAAATAGGAAATGATGAAAATGACACCTTTTGTGAGTTTCAACGCGAATACATCTCTCCGTCTTTTTCTTCTTATCTCTCTACGCCTTTCTCTTCCTTTGTTGGCATGTTTGTTTTTCTTCTTAAGCCTGAGGACAATGATGTGCCATTTTGCCAAGTTGTGACGGTAATGGAGTCAGTTTTGCGTGAAATATAATACTTTTATCTGAAGGACGAGAACGGCGAAATGTTTTTGTTGAAAGAGAAGGAAATCTTTGTGGGAACTATCGACAATAATCCAGAAAGCTGCACAAATTGATATCGAAATATCATCATTCCCGTAAATTTTTCTTTATTTTGCATTTATTAAATAGAGAGTTATTTAGCCTAAGTGATGGTTACATGTTCGGGCAATGGGGAGGGGGGGTTACGTTTCTAAACAGCTGGACAGTTGATTAGAAATAGGACACTTTCACATTCTGCATCTATTCCCTGTCTCCAGTAAGCTGTCCGCCTGTTTATCCAAAAATTCCCTATTATCGGATGATGTTGAAATTTCGTGATTAATAAGAGTAAAAGTTTTATGGGAAATATTGATAATAATTAGAAAGTGCATAGTAGGTAAAAATTGATTTCGGAATGGGGTTTTCCCGAGAACGTTGTTTTTAATTAATTTTCATTTTGATAAACTATTTCCTTTTAAATGTATTCGACGTACATATGAACAGATGTATTATTGTAGTGAATCTACCTAATTATTAAATGAAAATTAATCGTACACACCTTATTTGCCATGACCTCATAATATCGCCGATCCCACTGACAAAATTATGACTGTATAAAAGGCAATTTTTTTTTTTAATTTAAGCGAAAATATGTGGGTGCAAATGTTCGACTAAAATACAGTTATGTTAGTTGACAATGAACGGGAAAGAAAACTTGTTGCTTAAGCGTTATTTACAATTTATACCACTAGCTCGTTGCTTCGTAAGCGAAAATAATAAAAATTAGAATTTTTAATGAATAATAACAATATTAAATAATAACAAATGTAACATGTATCAAATGCATTATTTATATTTTTTATGATAGTTTAGAAATGTGTGCCAGCTATGCGACTTGTGTTTGCAGTGAATCGATACCTAAGTTTTATGAAAATAAAATAAAAGGGGAAAAGAGCTTGGCAGAACACATAGATAGGTATAATCAATATTTTCAAGTCCCGTCGTTAGATATTATTCCTGTACCAATTTGCTTCCTAATCGTTAAGTAGAAATACTTAACTATCGAGACGCTGTAGATCAAGCATCAATTGTTCTAAGTATCTAAAATCCAAGTGGTCTATATAAGTAACCTCTCAGAGACCGGATATTGTGCAGGTCTATTGAGAAACATCCAAACTCATTGCGCTAACTTTGTTCTTTAATCGATACTTCTGTTTTTAATCAACAGTTTTATTATACCAGTTGGTACGCAATATAGAGTTTCTGAAATAAGTAGCAAGCTTATAGGAAGTGATAGGGTACTATAAAACAAGAAAATTAACTAGATGTTTAGTGGTCCGCAAGTCCACCGTTTTTGAGAAAAACGTATTTGAAAGTACAGTCCGGCTCTGGTTGGGTCGCGTAGGGAAATACGACACTGCAACGCCGCATTCATCAGCAGCAGAATCCGCGTTGTATGAGTATTTTNTAGATTTTATTTGATACTAATTAATTAAATTTTTTTGTATAACTTTTACTGTACATAAAAATTATTTTTGATTTAAAGTTCAAAAAGATATCAGCAGATGTAAAATGCTAGCTGTAGAAGTCAAATGCATACATATGTATGTGTGTGATACATTTAAAGCTTTTTTTAGTTTTTTTCGCTTTCACACCAGCTTTTCCTTTATTAAAAAGCGGTAGAAGAAGTCAAGTTTTATGTGAGCAGCGGCGTGCACAAGGGCGACAAAAAAGGTTCAGGAAAGCTTTTAGCATCTTATATATGCACTCGTTATTTATAAAGGTCCTTTCCTGTTACTGTGGATGTTTACAGAAAAATAGTATATGTAAATTTATTTATTTAGCAAATAACGGAATTGGAATCACTTTGTTTGTACGTCCATGTAATTGCAATGCCTTTTAAGGAATATATTATGATGTGTATGTAGAAAGCATTTCTACTTTCATCAACATTGAAGTGTATAATGGATATTGATTCTCCCGAAAGTAAACTACGATTTTTTTTAACCTCCAACAGAAGTTATTTTTGGGACCTTCAGATATACAGATGTGTGTTTTAAGAGCATACAATTCAATGATAAACGCAATCTAATCTTAAGAGGAACTTTATATCATCATTACTGTTTTCATGTTCTTTATTCACTATACATTGGACAATGTGATCGAACAGAGAATGTAAGAAACAAAGAACATGTAGATACTATTTTAAATTAAACTTTGACCAAGTTTGACTACAATTTATATATAATATAAAAAATTCATGTAGGTACATTCTCACAAACAACCAAAAATTTAACTGTTTTGGAAAAATTTCTTTGAAAAAGAACTGAAGTTCGTGCATTCGTGTTTCAAATTACGAAATGTAGGTAATCGATCTGTAAAGTTTGGTACAGTAATAAAATAAAATTTCTATCAAGGTATAAGCCGATATGTTCGTATCTTGTTATTTACTGGTTCGGTGGTTCGTTGTAAATAAATATACGGCACGTATCAAACAGTAATTCTGTTTCGCCATCATATCGTTTACCGCAAGGATATATTGCGGGAGTAATGTGAAAAATGACACTTGGGTGGTAGCTCCGATAAAACGGTTAATGAATTAAAATTATATTTGCTATTTAATCCGTCGGTTTATTTATGTATTTATAACTAGGAAATTTAATACATGTTTTTGCAATTTTAGTGGCTGTCCATATTTCAACACTGTTGTTTCCCCAGTGTCATTAATTAAGAGACACTAAATATATCTTCTGGGTTTCGGTACGCCCATATTTCTGAAAGTAATTAATAGCAAATAGAAGTTTTAGGGCAAATACTCTGTTATAGCACATCGTGATAAATAAGCAAATCAAAATATATTTATGATGACTGTTAATTATATATAAAAGAAATTATGAATGCTGTCAGCACAGGGCAAAGTACTATTACGTAGTTAGTATCAGCAATTTCTTATGCTGAAGTGTACGATGTGTTGTATATTCACAAACAATTCCTTTAAATTTAATTTTTCAAACAATTTTTAACACAAAGAAAGTGATAAACAAATTGTTCACAAAAGTAAGTTTCGAGCTCACAGTGACCGATAAGGGGGAAGAACTTGTACATATTAACAAAATTCTGTAAACAAAATAAACAATAATTCTAATAAAATTAAGGTAACTCCTTAAAATTTATTTATAAGGGGTTAAAACCTTTGAACTTTGGCTATTGCTTTGCCTTAACGTTTTACAAGGTTACACCTTTTCCCCAACGGTATATTATTTTTGTGTAAACATTTGATGAAAGTTTGAAATATTTTTTAGTGTAGTTTCGTGTTTTGTCTCGCTTTCAGAAGCAGTCCGTCTTTGAGCTGCTTCGTGGTCGAGTCCGATGGGGTCTTCTACTCCTCGGGTATGTCGCCGACGGCAATGAGACTGGACACATGTCCGCCCCCGCAGTTGCAGCATTGTGCTAAGAGCGTAGTCGTTGCCAACGGCGGCGTTTCCGGTCCCGAACTGGAACTTTTGGCCAAACTGGAGGAGGCCAATCGGCTCTTCGAGTCCGACGCCAAGTCGCTCAATTCTCTCAGCGGCTCGGCTTCGGCCTCGGGACACTCGAGGAAGAGCTCGGACACCTCCCAAATATCACTTAATTCAGGTAAAAATTCTCCCCGATCTGTTTAAAGGTGGCTTCCCACAGCCTGACTTCCGGGCAGTGTGTTGGTGGAAGCTCTGGTGCGGCTCGGCCTGTGATATCATGACTTCCCACCACTTTAATATGTAGTTGAATAACACAATCTCGTCAAGTCTCATAATTTCAGGTCTGCTATAACCGATTTTCAAATTCGGACGCGCAAAATTTCTCAATTTTTTAATATAATAAAATGAAAAGATTTGTATATTAAATCTACACAAAACCCTCGTGAGACTTAAATATTATTCATGTATTTTCGTTAATGCAGTTTTGACACGTCACATCAATGTTTATACCCGATTAGATTAGATTAGATTCATCTTTTTAGGTTTATTATATTTTTGATTGCTTTATAGTATTACACGTTTACCCACTGACCGTATGTTAACAGTTTCTGTTTTCGTTTTACGTGAATGGTAAATCTTTGTGTAAAAAAAAATAAAATTTCGTAGTTATCAATCGTATCAAAATGTTATGCAACCAAAATTAAGTTTAAGTGAAATGATTACGGTTAACCATTCGAGATCTTTTTTGAATGATCTTGACGAACATTTTGCATTTCGAAAAGGGACTAGCTCGATCCAGGAGAAGGGTGAAGATGGGGGAGGCGAGGAGGACTTGTGGACCCTTTGGGGACACATCGTGAACGACTGGGACGCGAGCTGGAAGAAAAATAATGTACAGATTAGGGAATTGGTGCGACGAGGGATTCCCACTCACTTTAGGGGAATCGTGTGGCAATTGCTGTGCAATGCCACCGAAGCCCCCGAGAAAAAACTTTATGCGGATTATATTAAGGTAAGTAAACTTTTTTACAGCTCTTTGCAGTTAACAAAATTATCGCTTTGGGTATAAAACACTTATACTTTTTGTGCTAAAGTCGTAGTTTATCTACGTTGCAATAAAGGCTCAGGAATAAAAAAAATATATAAGGCTTGAATGAAGAAAAGAAATTGAATACATAAGTCTACAAGCTTTCTGGTTATTTCAGACGAAATCTCCTTGCGAAAAAGTAATAAGAAGAGACATAGCTCGTACATATCCCGAACACGACTTTTTCAAAGAGAAAGACGGTCTCGGACAGGAATCCTTATTCAATGTCATGAAGGCTTATTCTTTGCACGACAGAGAAGTCGGCTATTGCCAAGGATCAGGATTTATTGTTGGACTGCTGCTTATGCAGGTAATTCAATACGTGCGGGTCATTTAATTTGACCTTTTAAATGTCACTCACTTTATTCCTGTATCTCTATTTATAAGATGCCAGAAGAAGAATCATTTGCGGTCCTTGTGAAAATAATGGAAGAGTATAGGATGAGGGACATGTTCAAGCCCACAATGGCAGAATTGGGGCTTTGTATGTTCCAGTTGGAGCATCTGGTTTCAGAACAGTTGCCAGAGCTAAGTCAGCACTTTCATTCCCAAGGCTTTCACACTTCCATGTATGCCTCTAGCTGGTTTCTTACCCTCTTCACCACAGCTCTTACTCTGCCCCTTGCTTGCCGTATTATGGACGTATTCCTGTCGGAAGGCATGGAAGTGATCTTTAAAGTAGCCCTTGCCATGCTTACCTTGGGAAAAGAAGAACTTTTGTCACTGGACATGGAAGGAATGCTAAAGGTGCACCAGTTTCCTTTATCTCTTGAGTGAGTTCAATTTTCTTTTTTGCTTTAGTTTTTCCAAAAGGAATTGACGGCCAGAGCCGAGTCTGACCCCGAAGTCCTCATGCAGACTGCTTATAACATGAAGTACAATGCTAAGAAAATGAAGAAGCTCGAAAAAGAATATCAAGCCATTAAGACGAAAGAACAAGAAGAAATGGCTGAGTTAAAGGTAAAGTAACTTATTTATTACATGAACGTTTTAATTAATTTTCCTATATAGAGTGTATTAATTAGAAAATTATACGGTAAAAAATTGGCCAGTTGTTTTAAAAAAAAAAGTAGGAGAATAGAGATCCTTTGATTAATTTTGGAACGGAATTTCTTTTTTCTTTCAGAGATTAAGGACTGAAAACAAACAGTTGAAAAATAGATGCGAAATGCTCGAAGAAGAAAGTAAGGCTTTGGCTGATAGACTTGTTAAGGGTCAAGTTAGCAGGGCAGAAGAAGAAGAAACCACATTTATAGTCCAGAGGGAGCTAGATGCCCTGCGACATACTTATCTTGAAACTACTCATCAATTGGCTTTGGCCAACGAAAAAATACGATCTCTGTCTCTCATGATGGAAGAAACGGTAATATAATATGTGTGTTTTATGCTTCCTTTTAATAGCTGTTTTACTTTTTTAATCTATCTTACAAATTAAACAAATGCATATCTACTGATAACAACACACATAGAATAATAAGTAATTTTACTTTGAAACGTATTATAGAGTTTGTCAACAAGCTGTAAGGTGAAAACGATTTAGAAACCAAATCATATTATAATGATGATAGCAATTGTAAATTGTTTACTTATTACCTTACAACCCATTAAGTTGATATGACCTTTTAATTTAACTGTCAGTATAATAGTGACTCTTAATAGTGTTAACAGAAGCAAAAATGAACAAATTCTTTTCAAAAATTAAGGTACATTATATTATTCTTAAATTATATTGTATAACAGCATCATATAAATTATTTTCTTTATTTTCTTAAAACAGCAAACCTCTCGACAGTCTTCGATAGAAGAGATGTCATTGAAGCAGGAGCAGTTGCAGCAACGTGAAGAGATGATCCAATGTTTGCAAGATGAATTGGTAAAGGTAAGACTTAGGGAAGCAGAAAACGACGCTCTTATTAGGGAACTCAGAAGTCGAATACACGAACTCGAAGAAGACAAGAAAACCTTGAGAGAAACCACTCCTGATAACAGTGTTGCTCATCTTCAAGAGGAACTGATTGCGGTCAAACTTCGCGAAGCTGAAGCCAATTTATCCTTGAAAGATTTGAGACAACGTGTGGCAGAACTTAATAATCAGTGGCAACGACATTTACAGGTATATTTTATGAGAAACTTCCATCAACTTCCATGTTTAACTGAAATTGTTAAATGTATAGGAGCATAAGCAAGATCCAGCCCCTTCAGGTGAATCGTCACTCTTGAGTACCCCCAAAAAGAAATTGTTTTGGGAAAGTCGAAACAACGAAATTAAAAAATTGGAAGAAGAACTTATGACTACCAGGATCCGGGAGATGGAAACTCTTACAGAAGTGAAAGAATTGCGACTTAAGGTTAACAAAATATGTACTTCACATTCTAATCGAACAGCGCCCTTCATAGCTTTCCTACAAATTTTTGTTTGATTGATTCATTCTGTATACGTGCCCAAGTGAATGAATGGACTTTGTGGTATTGATTTTAAAAAATTTAATAGAGACAAAGCAGTAATCAAGAGAAATGTATCAAGACTATTTAATGTTGCTTTTCTTCATTATACCGTCTACAAATATCTTTATAGGAAAGTTAATGGTGTTTGGTACAATATCTACTCGTCTGTTAATCCTTTCTTCAAATATTCAACTACGATTTTTTAGGTAATGGAATTGGAAACTCAGGTTCAGGTTAGCACCAACCAGCTACGTAGACAAGAGGATGGAATCAAGAAACAAAAGGAATTGTTGGAAAAGGCGGAGCATAGAGATAAGGAGGCAGCAGCTCGTCTTCTTGAAGAACAACGACGATATGCTGACCTGGAGAGCAAGATGCAGGAAGAACTGATGAACGCCAAAATACGTGACGCCGAAAAAACCCAAGCTGTGGTAGAGTTAACACAAAAAATTAGTCAGTTGGAACTTAAGGTAAGCAAGTACCAATATTATTGGAACAAGATGTTATTTGAGTAATTATTTTCATGCACAGAACGAAGAAATTGCAACAGAAGGTGAACTGAGAAGTCACTCTGTTGAATACAGTGAACGCGTTAGAGAACTTCAAGACAAGGTAGCTGAACTTCAAGCAGAGGTAAGCAAACAATTATTTTAAGCTGCTAATTAATAAATTTAATTGAATCAATATTATGCTAATTAAACATAATAATCGTTTGCTTCATATTAATTGATTAAACCTATCAATATTATTCAGCACAGTGCAAACTAATAACACCAGCTTTATCATCGTTCTGTACATTGTTCACTTGCTTCGCTATAAAATTAACAATCCAAAAATAAGTTACATAATGTTACAAGACTGTATTATCCGAAGGAAATATAATTTACTAAATTGTTATTAGTTACTTAAAAATGAAGAAGTGACTTTTAAAAATTTGGTCATTTTTGTGCAAAATTCAATCAATATCATTTTGATTTGTTGTAGCAGGACCCCTAAAATCTGGTATTGATAACGTTGAGTAGTCCCAATGAGATCCTAAGACACTTTACGTAGTTTTATCACCTTTATTTATACTTATTATATTTCCCAAAACGGGAAAATATTTTTCTTCACAGCTTTATACCCTGTGTATTAATTATTAAGTAATAATTGATTAGTAAGTAGGAATTTCTCATTAAAAGCTTATTGTACAATTTAAATTATTAACGACACAAAATTGCAAGATATTATGTACTAGGCTTGTGTAAATAACTCATGGTTGCTGTATTTATACTGTACAGTTTCCTACCCCACTAACCACTCCGGACATAGAGCCCTGGAGATGGCTCGAGTAAGTTGTTCGAAATCTATATATTTGTTGCTGCTAATGCTACTAGTACTCCCACACTACTTCTACTGTTAGACTGCTACCACCATTATTATTAGTTCAGCTACTATATTTGATTCACTGATAACGGTAACATTTGATAATAGTACCGAAGTAAACAATTCAATTTAAATTTCATACAATTCGTGGCATGCCTCTTAGTGTTAATTTCAATTTTATTTATTTATTGTTATGTTATACGTGTATCTAGCTGGAATGTTTGAAATCATTAGTTTCTATTAAATCTCAACTTATTATTAGTTAATTGCATGATATATTGTTTATGTGGTAATGTTTTTTTTTTTTTTAATTTTTACGATATTGTAGAGATTTCAAAAAACTAAACTAAACCATATAAGTAGATATGTATCTGTAAAATTTGTTTTCCCTTTTAGAATGGCTGAAAAAAAATAATACCTTTTTTATTTCAATAATATGATGTTTTTTATTTGTTTTAATTATATTATTATTACTTCGTCAGTGGCTCTGATTAACTTCTCTTTATCAATTAATAGGTAATCGTACATTCTAGGTCATAAGGTTGGAATCGTTTAAGTCTCGGTGCGAGTGTACGGCGACACTTCGCCTGCCAACTCAGCGCACATCGTCAATGGACAGCAGCGAAGAGGACACGCGCATCCGCGTCGATGATCCTTCGTTACGTTTTCATCTTCCTGAATCGCCTACGTTTCCGCCGTCATCCAATCTCCTTCCCCAGAGGCGAAGTAGCAGCACCAGTTCCGACGTTGTCGATCCGAATATGAACAACGTCTTGAGCTCGAAAAACGACAACAACGTTAATAATACTCTACACGGTGCTGAAGTGTGACCCTTCTTCATCACCACATACTCCTTTTTCTCTTTACCCCCCCCCCTCCTCCTTCCTCTTTAGATTACAGGCTAGTTGTCTTGTAGTTTATTGTCTATTATAATCGGTGAGTAAAAAATAGATGTATATTAATGATAATTATGTGAAACGAAAACACGGAAAACAGGGATTGTTTGCGGTGTAATAGTATTTATTTTTTTGTTTGAATACAAAAGTGGAGTTGGTAAAGCAGGAGTTATCAGCATTTTTTTTTCTTTTCGTTCTAACTTTCCAATCAACTTTAAGGGCGTTAATTATCCTTCCTGGGAGTATTAGGCCTGTTTTCCAAATGATATTTTATGTATAATTATTTAAATGTGATGAGAACTAGTGTTAGGCTAAAACTACCATAAAATAATGTTATTAAAAATAATAATGAATACTTTAGGAAATGCTTATCAATTTTTTATCAACTATCACTTCATTCAGTATTTAATTAATTTTATTTATAATAGTGATTGTTGAATAATAGTTTTTTTATTAATTGTGTATATTAGAAAATCTTTAAAAAGTAAACGTTAACAATTTGAAGAATTTATACCACGATATATACTTTTTTGAACAAGTAATTTGAAAAAAATGTAGGTTTGATACTGATTTGGTAAAATTTTATTTGCAACTTTTCTTTTATGGTTTAATTACATAAAATACTGTGTAAATAGTTTGTTTTTCTTCCCATGCATAAGTAGACAATTCATAAATTAAAATAGAAAGATGCGTGCCAACCCTGAGTAACAATCCTAGTTATTTTTCATTTAAATCTAGAATTTTTTAAATTATTTAATTAATTGTATAAGCAATATTGCGTTAGCGAATGGTACTAAGTGTAAGTGCAATATCACATTTTTATTTTAAAAAAAGTATTTTACCTAACTTATTATATTTTATATATATATCAATTTTTATGATGCATTTAAGGTTTTGTGCAGTTCCTTTTTGTTTATTCCTTTTACGCTCAAATTACTTTAATAATTATTATAAAAT